AGTCAATAGACATACATGTAGGTCTACATATCACTACTGCATAACAGCATCCTATATACCATGACATAGATCTAAAAGATCAATACAACACAACAACATCCTCTATACCATGATACATAACATAGTGGGCCAACATTGGTGCCTTCGACCCACAAGTACAGTGAGGGAAAACATACCTCTCAGTGTGAAAAAAGAAAGGTGAACACAACACATCTCTGTATACCAACTCTACAGGTCACATGTACACCAAAAAGTGACCTTGTCTCAAACTATTGTTTATAATATCTAAAATACCCTTAGGTCAAACTTGGTGAAAATCCTAGTCAAGGTCAAAAGTCAAAAAGTCAATCAAGTTAACTTAGGCTAAGTACACCCAGTGTACTCAGCATGTACGCATGACGTAGTCACTAATCCAAAACATGGGTCCAACAGAGTACGTGCAGCGTACTTAGAAGTATGCCCAACGTACTCGGTCAAATGGCACTTTTTCCATTAAGTGCTTATTCTCTTAAGTTCTTTCGTCCCAAAACCCAAATCTAGTCCCAAATAACATTCTTAATCATAAAGTGTATAACTTTATGATCATACATGGCTATAAAGTGCCCAACACCAAAACTTTAACTTATCACAAGGTTCTAAACCACTAAAGAGCATGCATGGAGGGATATGAACAATCAAGATTCCATTTTTACAACTCTAGATACTATAAAACATCCAAAAGGACTGCTCATTTGGTCTAGAGTAGTCCATACTCACTTAGACCAAGAATATGGGACTAAAAACACAAAACTTCACATCTAACAAGATCTAATGAGATAATCAATAAAATCAGAACATTATACTTTTTGGAGGTTGGGTGAAAAACTCAAATCTTAAAGCTTGGAGCTCCTTCCTTTCTATCCAATGGCTTTTTTTTCTTCCACAATGGACACCAAATCACCAAAATAAGCTCAAAACACCAAAAATGAAAATTAGGGTTTGTAATATACGAAGTAGACAATATGGGCTGGCGAGGGGAAGGGGTATTGGGAGGTAATGCTGCTTAAATAGGGTCTAAACCATAATATTTAGTGTTTGAGTGTCGACCACGTACGCCTAGCATACACAAGTGTACACCCAATGTATGCAACAGAGGCGAGTTTCTCACTTAACGCTCCTTGGGACAAATTTTGCAAGCAATTCCATATTAATTGTGTAAATGGAAAATACCTAGAAATCGAGGTGTTACACACATGTATTCCTTGGAAACCAAGAGATGGCAGGCTACACTCCCTTAAGTAACAGTTGATCGAAGGAGCTATTGGAAGTTACTGGAAGTTATTGTCAATTACTATTATGCCTAATTGTCAAGGCATCTTTTGTAATTGAGATTTTAGTAAAACATATCCTGATGTAATATTTAATACTTAATGGAAGTGATATTTATTATACATATTGTTTTGTACTCTTCACTATATGATATTTGTGGTCCACCATTATAACGTCGCACAACATGGAATTTTCGCTACCGACCGGGGGTGTGACAAGCAAGGTGTGGTTCCAACTCCCACACCTCCTTCCTGCACCACACTTCTCACACCTCTCGACCTAACAGCTACTCCAAACGTGTATCTCGTCGATATTTTTGTGTCGGGTTTCTTCACTCTGCTCCGAGTCGAGTCAGGTTATTTATTCGAGTCGCCAAATTCCAAGACACATGTTAATAACAAATAACGTTCTCCACAATCCTTTCGGCAACATTATATATTTCCATTGGATGATTTGTTTTTAAAACATCAATTATGCATAGGTTAATCAGAAAGTTATAAGTGACATTTCTAATTTTCATTTAATAAATTAAATTTTATTGAAATTTATAAGTACCATATTTAATTTCCGTTTAATAGATTAAACTTAAACATTATAAAATGTAATGTTAGCATTCAATAAATATGTTTTGAAATGGCCATGAAATTATTCAATAGTAAAAATACAACTATTTAAATTCTTAAAAAAAAAAATATGCCCCTTGTTTAATATATTGTAAAGAAATTTTGATAAAGCTCTATGAAAAATAAAAGCAGTTTATCAAACTTTAATTAATTAAATACATCATTTATGTACTTACAATCAGTAGAATGAAAGATAGGGAATTAATGGAATATCACTTTTTAGTATCTCATAGCTTCTCTCTGCATCACTTTATTTATAGGTTATTTTTATGTCTTATTATATATTTTATTGACTGATCTATCATATAAAAATGTATTAACTTAAATATTTATAAATGTATTTTATTAACTAATTTATCTACATATTATGTGATATGCATTATAAAAAAATCCTCTAATCCAATTTGTTATTTTTAAGTAATTATAGTTTTTATAAAATTAAAAGTAATTAACAATAAATCAATATAGCACAATGAACAATTTTAAAATAAATACTATTAAATGTAAAGTCAAAAGATAATAAGTCTTTAAACGTTAAATATAATTAGGTGACCATCCTTTCCGTATCTTTTATTCTTGATTCAATTTGGAGGGGTTCGATGATGTTGTCAGAAATTCGTGGTCCCAAGATCAAAATTTACTTAGTGTTTCTCATCCTCAGGTTAAATTTAAAAAGAAACTTCAACTTCTTAAATCTAACATTCAAATTTGGAACACTACTAGTAGGCTCAAAATGGGTTTTAAATGCACAGAGCTCCAAAAAGTGTTAGAATTCATTGATTCTCGCCTTATAACTGACGGGGGAGATGCTACTCTTCGGGAGCAACGAGTTAATATTCTTAAGAACATCATAGATTTAGATCACGTTATGAATCTGGAGTTAGCCCAAAAGGCTAAAATTCATTGGGGTATTGAAGGTGATGAAAATTCAGGTTTTTTTTCATGGGGTCATAAACAGTAAAAGAAGACAAATGGCTATTAGAGGTGTTTTTAAGGATGGGTGTTAGATTGATGATCCAAATACGGTTAAGGAGGAATTTCATGGTCACTTTCAGACTCTTTTTTCTAAACATGCTGGTACTCGGCCCCGGACCGATGATACCCACTTTCGTCATCTTTCGTCTACTCAAACCCAGTTTCATCATGCTCCGTTTACTAGGGTGGAAATAAAAAATAGGCAGTGTGGGACTCTGGCACTTCAAAAGCTCCAGGTCCTGATGGTTTCACTTTTGGTATTATAAAACGGTATTGGGATATTGTTCAAGATGCTATTTTTGACTTGGAGTCTCATTTTCATATGCATTCTTTTATTCCTAAGGGGTGTAATGTTTCCTTTTTCACTATGATCCCAAAAATTAGAGACCCGAAGGTTGTTAGAGATTATAGACTTATTAGCTTGATTGGATGCCAATACAAGATTATTGGTAAACTTCTTATTGGTAAACTTCTACCTAATAGATTGGTTGAGGTTATTGATAGTCTGGTTAGTGTGGAGCAATCGACTTTTATAAAAGACAGACAGTTTCTAGACGGTCCGTTTATTCTCAATGAAATTATAGTTTGGAGTAAAGCTTCTAAAAATCATCTTTTTTCTCTTCAAAATGGATTTTGAAAAAGCTTATGATTTTTTATCATGGGAATACTTGCTAGAATTATGGGGTTTAGCTCTTTGTGGTGTAATTCGATTTTGGAGATGTTGTCTTCTGCTACTGTCTCGGTCCTGGTGAATGGTTCTCCTTCCTGGGAATTTCATATGTTCAGAGATCTAACACAGGGGGGTCCCTATCCCCTTTTCTTTTTGTGTTGGCCATTGAGGGTTTGTATGTGGCCCTGACTAGGACCCAATTAGCTAATGCATTTAGGGGAATCAAAATTGGAGGAATTACAATTTCTCATCTTCTTTATGCTGATGATGTTGTTCTCTTGATTGAATGGAATCAGGAGAATGCTCTCCATATTTTTCGAATTCTTAAATGTTTCTTTTTAGCATCGGGTTTGAAAATAAATATTCTTAAAAGTAAGTTGTATGGAGTGGGGGTCACGGCTAATCAAGTTTCATCTTTGGCTAATTGTATGGGGTGTTCTCCGGGCTCTTTTCCTTTTATACACTTGGGGGTTCGGTTGGTCAAGATATGGCGATAATTTATTACTGGGGTCCCATTGTTGATTCTTTCCGAAAAAGATTGGCTATTTGGAAAGCAAAATGTCTTTCTTTTGGTGACGGATGACTCTAGTTATAGCAATTTTGGGTTCGATTTCCAATTACTTGATGTCCATTTATCCTGTGTCTCTTACAGTGATAAAGGATTTGGAGAGATTGAGGTCAATGTTTTTTTGGGGTGCTAATTTGGATGATCATCGTATGCATTGGGTTAGGTGGGATAAAATCCTGGCCCATAAAGAAGTTGGAGGTTTTGGGATCGGTAGTCTTTTTGCCTTTAACGGGGCTCTATTATTACGTTGGAAGTGGAGATTTTTTCAAAACCCAAATTTATTATGGGTGAGAGTGGTCAAAAGAATTTATGGTTTGAAGAGATTACTAATTCTTTGATTCCAAGGAGACAATTGAATGGTCCTTGGAATGGTATTATGAGGATTGTAGATAATCTCAAAGATCGGGGCTTTGACTTCCATAACTTAGCTCCTATTAGAATTGGTGATGGGGTTTATACTTCTTTTTGGCATGATAATTGGCAAGGCAATAATCCTCTTTTGATTTCTTTTCATAGAGTTTTTGTGTTGGATATGAAC